AATTATAAATAACCAATGCTACCTTACGGCCTTCTAATGTAAGCTTTCTTTCGTTTTCTCTAACCCACTCCTCAAATAGTTCAGAGGTCATTCAGCTCTTTTTTTGCGCACGGTAACGATATGGAGTGCTTCTAATTCTTTTAAAGCAACGGGGTTTGTTTAATTTTCCAATAACAAACGTTATAACGAGACAATATTGTCGGCAAAGTTGTTTTCCTCCAAGAGCGGTCATTTCATTAGTAACATCTTGACTTTCATCTATGAAATATAAGAAAAGCAACTTTAGAATCATTATAAATTTTATTAGCTATCGTTTAGGATGCAGTTTTTTTGCACTTTATCCACTTGTTGTTTTTCATTCAGTGCGTGGTAATAAGCCAAAACGTGGTAATGACTTTAAAAAAATTAAAACAAAAAAAATTGGTTTGATAATTTATTGGTTTATGGGTGATAGAATAGAAATGAGAGTTCCATGCTTATTATTATTTTTTAGACAAATGACTAAAAAAAATGTAAATGTCAATATAAAAAATAAAATGATAAAATACCTGATATTTTTTCTTATACATAGTTTCATTAGACTGGGTGAATAAAGATGAGCAATTGCTTTTACTTAGTAATTGGTCAGCTTTACGTGAAAAAAATTTGAGCTTTACGTTTTGCTCAAATTTTTATTCACGTAAAGTTAAGCAATTTACTCAGTAATTGTTCAGCTTTACGTAAATAAAAATATACCTGAAATTTTTTAATTTTTTATTCACGTAAAGCTGACCAATTAATGAGTAAAAGCAATTGCTCGTTTTTATTCACCCGGCTAATTGTTTCTTTTTTTCTATCTATCTAACCATCTACTGGATGCTTGAAAGTTGTCACAACCAAGTTTTTTTGCAAAATGCAAAGCTTTGACTTTGAAAATGGTTCCAGATAACATGCTTTATCCAAGTTTTCATTTAGGGAGACACGCATCCGCACTCTTTTCGCAAAAGTTATATTTTTTTCGACTTCTGAATATGTTTTATTCTTTTCATTTGACAAGAATTTAATCAAAGCTTAACTGAATCGAAAGATCTCCGTGAAAATGTTTAGCTATATTTGATATATTATAATTATATTTGACGCAAAAGTATTTTAATTTCAAGCGTTTACAGTTTGGAATTTTTATTAAAATATTGTAAGTTTTGTTATTATATGCACTTATATGCCATTCAAAATAAAAATCCTAGTTAAGCGAAGTTTTTTGCCGAAGGTACCTCAAAAAACAGTACGAGTTAGTATATATATACATATATATATATATATATATATATATATATATATATATATATATATATATATATATATATATATATATATATATATATATATATATATATATATATATATATATATATATATATATATATATATTAAAATAATTTAAATGAAAAAATACAACTTTATAATGGAACTCAAAGTTTCATGCCGTTCGGCAATCATCAGCCATACTATTTAAATATAAAATAAAAAACCGTTTTAAAAAATACAAGTTTAGCGTTGGAACTGCATCTGACGTCAATTATACGTGATCCGATAATTGCTAATCGCCGGAATCAAAGTTAGATAGTAAAAATTTTTTCCTATGCCTTCATGCAGAAAGTAGTTCACTTTTTTTGTTAAGTAGTAATCGACTATTAAAAGTCATAATATAACATTTTTCATTGATGCAAAGGTTACACTTTTTTCCAGATGGGTTATAAGATTGGCATTTTTTAATTATGTTCCACTTAATTATAGGCATGTTACCACATTTCCTTGGAAAGTTCCATATCATTCCTATATCTGTTTTAATTATGTTTCCAAATTTCCTTGGAAAGTTCCATATCATTCCTATACCTGTTTTATTTATGTTTCCAAATTTCCTTGGAAAGTTCCATATCATTTCTATACCTGTTTTATTTATGTTTCCAAATTTCCTTGGAAAGTTCCATATCATTCCTATACCTGGTTGCATTAAATGATTTAAGGTGGCTCGCGAATCCGAGCTTGAATGTGTTTTCACTAATTCCAATGTCGGATTTTTCTGTAAGACTGGGGTTAGGTGATTCTTAGGTGGCTTTATATACAACATTTTTTGATAGACATTGGTTATTTAATGGGCATGTGGTTTTTTTAATGCAGTTGCAGTTTATATCATTAGCAGTGAGTTTGTTGCGCAAAATTGGTTGTTGTAAACCGCTTGCGTTTTTAAACACGGTTAAGCCATCGTCTCTATATAATCCAAAATCAGATTTTTTAAAAAATTGCGAAATCTGGAAGAGAAGAAAATTACTAAATAACTCGCACACCTCCGCTCCATCAAATGCTCCCATGGTAGCATCAAACAAACCGCTTGATTTTTTGATCCAAACTTGGTCATTGGTAAATAATAAAGACTTATGCGCGTGGAGAATTAAAGATTTATGGTCAGCATCAATGGAAACGTATTGTTCTTCAAAGTTTATTGAATCGATAAGTAGCTTTTCATTAATAGAAGGGTAAAAGTCAACGATGTCGAAAATAAGGAATTTATAAAAATGTTTGTCATTGATGTTTTTGAACCAATTTATTACATTTTGTGTGCTATTTCACTGATTTAATTGCAAAATATTTCTGAAGTTGGTGTTAATATCTGATAATATATGTTTACTTATTCTACCAACTTCATTCTTAGCTGGGTTAATTAGACAAACAGTAGGATTATTTAAAAAATTAGGTTTATGTTCTTTTAATGTAATGAAACAATTGGAAGAACTGTTTATATTGATTTTGTTAAAAACATCATGATTTTTCAGAATAGTTTTTCCTTCTTTATCCATGCGATCTTTTATTATAGGGTTGGTTTTTTTATATTTATATTATTTTTTTTAGAAGTAGTAGCGTTCATTAACAACTTATTGTATTCGTCTTTTGATAATTTATATAAATTTGATGTTTTATCTGCGTAAGTGTAAGTATACGTTGAGTTTTGAATAGAAGAAATGTCTTTTTTTAATTTATTTTAGAAGCTGCATTGAACCATCCTAAACTGTATGTTTTTAATTAATTTGAATAAATCGCATTCAAACGCACGCATATCTTTAATCTGTTGTAGACAATGTGATGTGTTAATACCATAAGAATTAAAACTGATGTTATTATTACTATTATTATTAATATCATTCATACCGTCAGAATGGTTTATGAAGAAAAATCCATCTCATTTTTTTAATCAATATCTTAGTTTTTTCAAGCAATCGCAATATTCTTTATTTGATGGTTTATTTTTTATTGAATAATTGAAGTTAATTTTTTCCATTTTTAACGACTTGAGAAGTGCTCAACAGGATAAGGGTTATATATGTATACATACATACATATATATATATATATATATATATATATATATATATATATATATATATATATATATATATATATATATATATATATATATATATATATATATATATATATATATATATATATATATATATATATTTATATATATATATATAGATAGATTGATAGATAGATAGATAGATAGATATATTTAATGCATATATAAAAACAAGCTTCAGTTCGTTATTGATAAATCCTAAAAAATATATTTATAGGGTTTATCAATATTAGCTGGTTTGCTATACCCGTCCCATTTTTTAAAAAACCATAATTTTTTTTTTTATTGTTTTTTTCTTTAAAATGTTCAATTTTTATGTAGGTACGAATATAAATATAAGAGAAAAGTATTTAAATTTCTTTGGTGCTATTCGTTTTGGAAAGTTACTTGAAGATTTAGATACCATGGCTGGATATGTGGGCTATAAATATTACAAAGGCCCTACTGAAAGGCCTCCCTTTGCACTAGTGACCGCCTGTGTGGACAAAATTAACTTAAAAGAAAATGTGATCCATCCGAAAGAAGATCTTAAACTTAGAGGATTTGTTTCATGGGCAGGGAAAACCTCTTTAGAAATAACAATTCTAATTTATCAGTTCAAAAAAGAACTCAATATATGGAAACAGCTGGCTGATGCAATGTTTGTGATGGCCGCTAGATCAATGCATGATGGATCTTCCGCATTCATTAACCCTTTTGAAGTAAACACCGAAGAAGAAAAAGAGTATTTTCAAAAAGGTTTGTTAAATAAGGAAATACGAAAATACAAAGCAGAAAATTCGCTTTTAAAGATTTCCCCGACAGCAGAAGAAAGAGATCGCGTACATGAACTATTTTTAAAAACAGTTGACCCAAACAAATCAACATTTTCTAGCCGCATAAAACCTGAAAACACTGTTTGGATGCACGAAACTAATTTAAAAAATCTTATTATATGTCATCCCCAGTCAAGGAATTGCTATAACAAAATATTTGGAGGTTTTCTCATGCGAGAAGCTTTTGAACTTGCTTGGGCTAATTCCTGTGTTTATATTAAATCAATTCCTAATATTATAACCATAGACGATATTGTTTTTCGAAAGCCAGTTGAAGTTGGGTCTCTTTTATACTTATCAAGTCAAATTGTATTTACAAAAGGTCTGTATCTGCAAGTAAGAGTTCTTGCAGAAGTGGTTAATCCAAAATCGGGTCAAACTGATACAACAAATGTTTTTTATTTTCACTTTACCAGTAATCAACCTTTTCCTGAGGTTATGCCATTTTCATACGCTGAGTATATGCTGTATCTTGACGGTTTGAGGCACTGCCCTTCTAGTATATAAAATTTATCTAGTTAATCTAAAATATAAAGTCTAGATAAAGCTTGATTAAAAAGTTTACTGCATTATTCGGTTTTAAAAAAAATCTTTTTTATTTTCCAATTTATTACTTATAAAAAAAAACATTGGTGTTAACAAACTTCTATTATTTATGTATTTGTTTGATACTTATTTGATACTTCTACTCTTATTTGATACTTCTATTATTTATGTATTTGTTTTATACTAATTTGTACATATAATTTTTTTAAAAAGTAAATCTTCTGGAAACTCATTTCCGTTGCAGACTTTTTTTTGTTGTTGTTTCTTATTGCGAATTTACTTACTTAATGCTAATTTTGGGAGGAATTTAAAGTATTTAAAAATATTATTTAGTAGAGTTGTAATCGCATAACTTGTACGCAATATCATAATTTTAGTGTTGAAATATGTAACAGGTTGAAATAGGGGTCTTCCATAAAGTACCTACGCAGGTACAAAGGGAGGGGAGTTACCTAAAAACAAATGCATACAAGGTGGTGGGGTGTTAAAGACAGCGAGTACGTACGCAGTTAGGCTGCGTACGTACTGCTTGATTTCTTGTTTTCTATCACTCTTAAAACTTAGTTTTCTTTTTTTTTTTTAACAAAAGCATCGAATTCCACGGCAACAAGTTGATAAAATATTTTCTGTACGATTCTCAACTAGATTTATATTCTTTGATAAAGTTTCATAGTATTATCTTTCAGCGTTCAAAAATTACGACCACATAAATTTTTTAGCCCCCACAAATTGAGGAGACTTTAAACTTTACATGGTCATAATTTTTGAACGATAATACTATAAAACTTAAAATTTACCGATGAATATAAGTCTAGTTATGAATAGTACAAAATTTTTTTTATCAATTTGTTGCCCCTCACGTTCGGGGTGGGGGAGAAAAATAAATTTAAAGGACTTTTTTGTTCCCTGTCTCCAATCATGGCGATTTTTTGCATAGCATTATTATTTGACATAAGTATAAACATATAAATGTTTGGAATTTGCACAATGTCTGGAAGTTAGCATCTTAAACACTAAAAAATCCTGGATTTGTCACTGAAGTACGTAGAAATAGGTAATATAAAAGTATGGTATAGGTAAGATAAAAGTGCGTAGAAATAGGTAATATAATTTAATTAGTTGTTTTACTGCGTACGCGCTTTTTGGAAGCCTCCTTACAGTAATTTTTACAGAGGTTTCTGATTTTTTAAAAAATCATATATTTTTTTGCTTGACGTATGTTTAAGAAACATTGAAAGTTTTGATGCTGGACATCAAAGCTTTTTATAAACTTCCTAATTAACCAATAGTAAATCGTTCTTTATTGTTATTTAAAAGTTATCTTCATTGTTATTTAAAAGTTAAGAACTGTAAAACCATGGAAGTTCATCAAGCTGCAAACATTGAAGCAATTTCAAGTCGTCTCGGGAGTATGCTTGTAACCGACAATAAAAAAAAAAAAGTTTCACTGAACAAAAAACAATAAAATTCACTGAAATGATTTTTATTAAAACATTAAAAGATAAATTATTTTAGGGATATGCTGCTAAATTTTAACCATTAGTAATTGCAATTATTCGGCAAAAGATTTATTAAAACTCGGTAATTATATAGAACCACTTGATTTTAAAAGCATACGTTAGTTTAAGCTTCTTGCTTCAAGTCATATCACGACATTTGATTAAAAAGATAGCTAAAACAATTTTTAAAAAATAAAAAAAAATTGTTTTATTAGCTGTATATCATAATTCCATTCATTCTTGCAGAACTCCGTTTATTTAATAAAAAGTTTTTGCCGTTTTGTTGCGCCATTTTTAATGTTTTTTCTTGGCGAACCTTCAAAGTAAAGTCATTACGGGTAACTTTGAACGGTTTGCGCTAGGTTTATCTCTACAAAAATTGTTTTACTAACTAGATAACAAATATTTTTACATAAAGGGTGTTCTGATGATCTCTTTTTTCTAGTTTGTTATCATTTTTTTAAATTTGCTAGATATTATGTAAAAAAAACAATGTTCAAGCAGGCGTTCAAAGTTACCCTCGCATTTCGGGTAACTTTGAAAACTATTAAACTGAATGTCAATTTTAATCTTTTAAATCTAAAAAGTTGTTTAAATTTCTTTGTATTAGTTTAAATTAATTTTTTAAAAAATCTAGTTAAACTATTTCGAGAATAAACAAACAAGTTTTTCAATACAATATTTCGAGAATAAACAAACAAGTTTTTCAATAAAATATTTCGAGGATAAACAAACAAGTTTTTCAATAAAATATTCACAAAATAATTTTTAAGGTTATAAAAGAAAAAATAATTAAGGCATTATTTTTATATAATTCTCCACAAATAAACACCATTGTCTATAAAACTAAATATTACAGTGTTTCATTGTTTAGTCTTGAGTTACAACTAACTCTTTTACAAAATAATCATGATCAAGGAAAACATGTACATAGTGATTGTTTATTTGCTCAAATGAAAAAACTGCATCATTTTGAGATACAGGTAAAACTTGTTCATTGTCTTCAATAACTTGATTAACATTTACGATGCTTGAACTTTGTAAAATATTAAGTTTTTTGTTTATTTTCATAACCATATTATTTAATCCAAGTGGTCTTCCTCTTTTCTTTGCTTGAATATTATCTTGACTTTTTTTTTTATTGTCTCTTTCCTTATAGTATGCTTCTACCTCAGTGGCTGATACACTTTTCCCTGCTGTTATTGGTAACTTAAATTTTTTGCTTACTTCATAATAAAGATGAATATCATCAACATAATTCCTAAACGATTCTCCAATATTGAGTTGAATATCTATATTTGTAAAACTGGGTAATTGGGAGAGCATGTTCTGGTACAAATGGATATATGCCAGTAGCCTTAAATGCTGCTTGGAGATTATGTTCTAGATTTTCTTTACCAACAGTAGATTTAATGAGCTGCGTAAACAAATTTTTTGGCAGGTTATTAACCTTTTTTCCTCTGGATGTTTTACGCAATTAATTAAGAACTGACCTCCAATCAGCTTTTAAACTCGAGAAATATCCAACATCTAAAGGTTGTAAAAGGTGTGTGGAATTGGGTACCAAACAAATAAATGTTATATTATGCTTTTCACATATATTTAAGGCTTTTATAGATATATGAGCACTTAAATTATCGCAAATCAGAATTTTTTTACCTTCCTTATTTATAATATTTGGAACAAAGTGATTTAACAGCCACTCTTCAAATATTTGAACTTCCATCCAGCCACTGCAAGAAGTTGCCATTCTTGATCCTTCTGGTGCATTGAAAAGCCAGTCAGGCCAACTGTGTTTTCCTTTAACAATGAAAAATGGTGGAATTAGTTTTCCTGAGGCATTTCCACAAAAAACAACAGTGTAACAAGTTTTTGTTGTGTTTCTTATAAGTTCTGGATGGCGAGAGGATCGACAAAAAATAAGTTTTTTTTTCCAGGGTCATCATGAAACCCTGTTTCATCCATATTGTAAATGTTATCTGGCGTTACTCCATTTAATTCCTTCTCTAGATTTTGAAAAAATAATTTTATTTGACAATAATTAATCTGTGTACGTTTCCTTGAAATACAATGAGATACTTTACAATAGATGCCTGTCAAGATAAAGTTTACACCACTCCCAACCTGGTCGGTTATCTTTAAACTGTTGTATATTTTTTCCACTATCATCCAGATAGATTTTGACAATACTTTTAAAATCATTAATTCCAATTGGTATACCTTTGTCACTTAATCAAAGTAAGTGATTTTCAAAACAAAGTTCCTCATCAATGCTAAGGGCAATAGGGCGCCCTACCGATTTACAGTGTTTACTTTTTAGCTTATAAAATAATGTTGCTTTAGGTACTTTATAAATTTTAGAAGCTTCACCAATCAACATTTTTTCTAATTTAATTTTGGCTAAAGCCTCTTGAAGTGAAGAATTGGTGTAATTAGATTTAGTGCCATATTTTCTTGTGCCAGGATGAGTTGTCGAACAATTTCTTGGCATTTTATGAATGCTAAAAATATAAAGATGATTTATGTTATTAATGAAAATTCTTTAATTAATTGCATATTTGCTATTAATAAAATATATTATTAAATCTATCAAGATAGCCATAAATATCAAAAATTAATATATCATAGTAATAGATATTATAATTTTTGATATTTATAATATCATATATCATTATATAATAAAAATACTATAATAAAAGGATGCCTATTATTTATTATGTATTATTGCAATGTTACTCAGACAGCAAAAAAAGCATTTTTGGAAAATATTGATTGTCTAAAGTTACCCTGAATTTGGTTATATTTTAGCTAAGTGGAAATAAATATCATTTTTGTAGCAAAAAAAACATGTTAAATCCTATTATTTTGAGTTCGTATTAAAGTTCGAAAAATAATTCAATAAAATACTTAAAAATCTATTCAGATAATTACAATATAATACCAAATACTCTAAATTGAAAACACACGATGTTATCACCACATTCGACTGTGTAACTGAAAATGGAGGAAAACATTATTTTTGAGAAATAAAATTTAATTTTCTTTGGTCAAACTTTTATAAAAAAAAATAATTCATCATATTATTCTTTGTTAAAGCAACAGGCAAAGAAAATACCAAAGAAAAAAAAATTTAAAAACATTTACACGTTTAGTTCAATGTTACCCGCAAATTCAAAGTTACCCAGAATGACTGTACTATTTTTAAGTTATTATAAACGTACCTATTTGGATCAACGTATAAAGATTAAGTACAGCGTCAAAGTACAGTCTTGGTGTCATTTACTTTTTGCTTACGAAACAAACAATTACAAGAATAGTCCCGAAGAAATCTGTTTTATACTTCCATGGTAAAACTAATAAAATGTTTACTAATAAATGATGCAGTAAAGGTTATTTCTTAGTTCTTGTAGGTTGATAAATGTTCTACATAAATAGGCTTATTGATAATTCTGAATTTTATGGTTTGATAAATTGTGACCTTAAAATAATAAGGTTTTATCTCCACCTGGGTAAAATTTAAACAGTTATGTACCTAATTACAAAACTTTACAATTGAATAAGAGATTAAACTATACATAAAATATTTGGAAAAAAAGTGTTATTTAGTTTTTCAGAGGCTTAGAATTATAACGGTGTAACTTTATTAGAATAGGAAGGTTCTATCTTAATTGAGTAACCAGGATAAATCTCGTATTTAATTTATTTCAATATATATATATATATATATATATATATATATATATATA